ACCTGGGCTATAAATAAAATTATGTAGATTAATTGTGAAATTAAACCTCCTTTACCATATTAATTATGCCCATTATTGAGAGTTAAACCTTTTAATCTTTTTTTTTTCCTGTTAAATCAAATATATATGTAACAACTTACTAAAATTTGAACAACTTTAGTAGAAGAGATTCTATGATTTAGATAACAGGTAATTAATCTATCCACCTAATATATATATATTATATTTATTTATTTATTTATTTATTTATTAAATCATGAATTGATACTACTTAAGCAACTTAAATTTTCTTTTACTTTCCACAATGTGAAACTTGTTAATATGTTTTTTGTGATAATACTAGATTTCAATCTCTTCATTATTTATTTATAAAATGTTTAATTTGTATTAATTTTGAAATTGAATTTTATGATTAAAACTGAAAAGGAAATAAACCAAATTTCATTGCCAGTTTAGGTCTTTCAACACTATTATAGCATTAAATATCACCAGAACACCATTATAGGATTTTTTATGGAAAAAAAACAGCTACTTGGATATCTATTGGAGTAAGAAAATTTATTCACGTCTCAATGGACTACCCTACTGAGGTGTTTTAAGGATTTTCCTTTTATCTGCAACTGTTTTTTGATTGGAGGAACGCGGTTTATTCTAGTTATCATATTGAATTTGTTTTCTTATATTTTAAGAGGGAAAGGCTCTAACCTTCTAAGTTAGAAGATTAAATACTGGCTGTGCATATTAAACTCTCAAACGATTCCCTTCGACATTAACATTAGTTGAAAACATCCTCCAACTAGACAATGTACACAAGTAAACTCGAGCTAGTTGACAAACACTCCACATACAAATGGTCTAATTACATCAGTTGCAGGCGTAAGAGACAAAATGCAATCAAATTCGTCATTGCACTGGAAATACTTTGCAACTTTTCTTATTCAACTTGAAATTAAGATTTCAATTTTTACTATCATGCACTCGGTATTTGCACACCTTCCATGGATGTGGACTTCTTCTGCCTTGTTTATAAAAGCATCGAGGTCTTTATTTTATCAACTTTGAAATTGCCAAAGTGATGGGGAAAAGTTTGAGCTTTCCTGGGAGCTTCACTAAATTCAAAACATAAGTATCATTACTTTTTTTTTTTATCCCCGTTTGGCCCTCATTAAATTTCATTACATTACATTCCATTTCTTTCTCTCATATTTTAAACCACATAATCTTACATACAATAATATTACACCTAAATCGAAAACTTTTCATTCTTTTTCAACTATTCATTTTTCAAAAAAATACTATTCCACTCATTTTCATTTCTAGAAAATGGAGGCCAAAGGGATATATGCATTATGTATTCCGTGCATGTGCATGGTGAACACCAACCAATTATACAAGCTCAAAGAAGTATTACTAATGACATCGATCTTGCTAGATTTCTACCAAATTCTCCTTGAGGCCTAGAATATGGGAAGATCCTAAAGTATGCTCCTCATTTAGACCTTGGTATTTGTCTCGGAGTTTTTATAACTAAGTTATTAGTTGTGCCGCTATAGATAACATAAACAAAAAGGAACAACGCAGCTAAAAATGTGTCATTTATCAGACAAATCATGAAATACAACTTTAGATTGTTGGGAAAATTGGTGATTTGTGTGTAGATAAATTTATCAATTAGCATAATCGATTAAATGACATAAACATAATTCAACAATAATGTAAAATAAGAAAAAGGTTAGAAAAGCAAGTTTTGAGAGTCACGTCGAAAACGTTGTCCTAAAGTCGTGTTGCCTCCCCTTCGTACGGATTCTTTCGGCACTATACGACTCCAAAATAAAATTCACGTGGCTCTCCTTCTATGGGCACGACTATAGGGAGATAAAGAACGAGCCTCATATGAAATTGTCACAAACTATAGAAATATAGTATAAAATATAGATGTAGTATTTTATTTTCCTTGTATCTCAAGTTCTTTTTCTCAAATGAAATAACTCCCTTTTATAGGGATAAAATTAATCCCCACAATCAAACCATTAAAATATAAGTTACCATATGTTTTAATTTTATATTAAAACTTAAAATTAAAGTGCTTTAATTTTTTTAAGGTTGAAAATTATTTTTTAAGTTACAACATGAACGACCCGATTTGTTTTTAAACTTAAAAGTAACCTTTTTAAAATGGTTGAATCCTAAATCGTGAAACAAACCAACACTTTTAAGTTGAAATTTTGTTTCTATTTGATTGCTTTTCTTGTTAATCTCTTCGGCAATTTCATTGAGGAAATTTTCTAAAATGACATTTTACAATGCTCATAACGAAAATGGCTTTGCTTTAGAAAATCTTGTTTCTATGTAAAATATCTTAAATGTTGACCTCAAATCTTTCTTTATACTCGACATAAAATGAAAGCTCCAAACGGTTAAAGTAGGGATGGTGGTGAGGGCTGCGTAGAGTAGTGGGAGCTTGGACATGAATGCAAGGGTACGTAATCTTATATATCTTTTAAAATACACTAAAACTAATAAAGTTGAGAACCCCATTTTTTTAAAAATAAATTTTATGAAAAATTATTTTTTTAAAGAATATATTGTTAAAAAGTTATAACAATCTCGTTAAATTATTTTTATTGAGATAATGTAAGATTTGAAAAATTAGTGTTAATAAAAGAATTATAAAGAAATGTAATGCTTAATTGAAATAGAAATATATAAATGGCATTATTTGCCAAGTAGAAAAAGGCAATAACGTGCCCCCGAGGCATATTCCAGTGGTGCAAAAGACATGAGTGGGGTAGTTCAGCTTTGCTGGCAACCGCAGTGTGAGGGATCGATTCCTGAAATATGGAATTAGATTTTTTGTGGACACTAATGTACGGGCAATCTCTTGTTTCCTGACCTGCTGTGGCACATTTCGCAATTTACCTCCCTCATGATACTGCAGGGGCGGGGCGGTGAGGCACCCAAGATTGGGATTGAACCTTAGAAAAGGCATTAATGTCATTGTCGCAACTTGACTCCATTATTTATAGAAAAAAAGAAAAAGTTGCACATGACAGCACAAATGAAGTCTGTTTTGAATCCCGTGAACTTAATTTATGCTCCCTACATAATTTCCTTGAACAACCAATAATATGGCATGCTAATTAATTATTTGATTACGACATATCAACATATATACCATTTTAGTATGACAAATTAGCCAACTTAATTAGATTGAAATAAAATTATAATTTTGTTGTGAGGTCCATTTTGGACGAGCTAATTGCCCAAGAAGAGATTTTGTTTAAGCGTGCATCTGTTGAATAACTAGATAAAGATTTTCAGCGAGTAAGATTTTGCTAACATATATGGTTGAGACATATAATTTTATGAGTTGTGTTTAGCGTTACAAATATGACTTTCATTTTAGATTCTATTTACTTTTGTCTCCTATAACTCTAATTTCTCTCCTTTTCTATCTATATGTTAAAATTGTGTTCATCAATGTCAAGTCGAGATGAAGTAAATTTACCGAACTTCCTCAACAAAATGTGAAGAAATTCTCTAATTTATTATTTTTAAGGTTTTGATAAGTATAGCATGACTGTAAAGGGATTTAAAAAAAAAAAACTTTGAAAAGTTGCTAATCATCAAGATCCCTTAAAAAATTTGATAAGTATAATTTGATTCTTGACATTTATAGAATGGATTTTCGTTGCTACTCGTCAAGATCCCTTAAGATTATTTGCGGTCCACAATAAATTTTGAAATTGCAAATATCAAGATCATCTCTTGACTTTTGTATGAACGCCACATTTGATATTAAAGATGAGAGAAGGTTCTAATAAAGTGAAATTTCAAAATTGTGGAACAACAGGAGGTGAAAACCAGAGTCTTTGCTCCAGTTCGTAATGTAGAATCAAGTGTTTTTGTTATCCTATAATTTTTATTTTTTATTATTATTTTTTTTAAGACTAGTTATTTTGTAAATCCAAAAATCTTTGGAATGTAACTTTTGCTCATCCTTATTCTTTGCCCCTCATGGCATGTCAAATAAGTGGTGGACTGAAACTTTAAAATGAGTAAGTTAGTCCCCAACTTGTTATATAATTACACAGTCAGTCATCAACAAAAATCATCTATTTTTTTATTAATTCGTCAAGGTCCCTCATGCTTCTAACTTTGTAAAATTATATTCTGTATTTCACCTTGGCTAGTACCCAAAAATTGAAAGGTAGTCATGTTTCTACAGGGGCCATGTGAAGATTTAATTGAGTAGTTGGATGTTTTCTATTGTTAGAGACTAATTACATATAACAGTTAAGGGTCAATTTGAACTTTTATAAAGATTTAGGGGTCAATTTTCGATTTAGGCAACTTATAGGGGACCAACACTAAAATTTTGGCGACAAGTGGGACAAAAGGTACAATTTTACCAAAATTCACGGACAAAGGAGAAAATGTAAATATCAACAAGGCACTGCGGGGACGGTGGACCGAAAGCAACCGCATCGAATGCAAATGAAGAAAGTGGCGGACACAAACAAATTCCAAAAATAAATAAATAAAAGTACGTACAATAATTATGACCTGAGCTCCATTTTTGTCATAAAAATATATTTTTTAATAGTGTATTAATGTGAAATGTGTGGTTAAAAAATAAAAAATGTATTAACCCCCATTTAGTAGTATTTTTTCACTCAAAATTTTTTTTTTTACTATTATTTTACTATTTCAGCAATTATTTTTGACTCATTCATTCAAGGTGAAATTCACTTTTCTCTTTTAACAGTAAAAAAATAAATTTTCATAGTCAATATCGTACCAATCCTTAAAATAATACCACTATAATTATTTCTGGATAAGCGTCACATAAATTTGACGACTCTATTGTTTAATATTTTTTCACTTTATCTTTATCCCAATTAAAGTATTAAAATAATACCACTATAATTATTTTACTATAATAATTTTTTAAGTGTGTAATCAACTCCCGTCCACGTGTCCGTTTCTTTTTATCTCTTTCTGTATTGAAATTGTAGAAGGAAAGAGGAGAAATCAGAAAGAGAAAATTCATTCAAAATTCTCTGCTCAATAAGTTCCAACTATTCTTCGACGTTGCTAAAGAGAATCAGAAATCATGGAAAATAGTTTTGATACACACTGATGAGCGTTTGATTCTCCAAAGAATTTAATTTAAAAAAAAATTATTGATCAAAAGAGTGGTTGAGAGATGTACATAGGTGGCGGTGGAGCTCCAAAGCGGAATTCTTTCAAGGATTCTCTCAAAGTTCTCGAAGCCGATATTCAGCACGCAAATACTCTGTACGTAATTTTCTCTCCCTATCTAACGTTTTTTTATTTATTTATTTTTCATTTTTGTTCGAGTTTTTAGGATGAAAAAGTATTTACTTCTATTTTATATTTTGTTTTAAATTTCCGGAAACAGTTATATTTCTTAATTATTAATCAATATTTTGCTTTGTGCTTTACTGAGCTAGTGCTAATTAAATTAGTTTAAATAGACATAATTATTATTTTTCAGAAAATACTTTAGAAGTTTGGTAGTGCACTTCGTTAGGAAGTTTTGCAAATGATGATAGTTTATAGATTACTTTACTGGTTACTTCAGTTTGAGATAAAGGTATCTTTTCTATATTCCACTGGGTTTTGGCTTTTAACATATATATTTTTGATATTTTTACGGTTCTTTTTCTTTTTTCTTCCAGCAAATTTGTTAACATTACGTCTTAGTTGAATTTCCTCGTGGACCGTCAACAGGAGACAATATGAAAAGAGAAATTCACTAGAAAATTAACCTTAGTGTGCCAATATTCAAATGTTTGTTAAGGCAATGATATTACCCAAAAAAAAAAAAGAGGAACTTTCTCTTGGAACATATTATTATTATTATTGTAAGAACTGTTGGGTATGTAATTTGAATTACGAACAGCTTCAACTTTATCCCTGTATTGTTATATTGGATAATTATTAGTACATCAGCTTGCTATGAACTGAGTTAGTTGTTTCTATAATCATCTGGCTTGATAATTTTTCTTGAACATTCTCCGTGTTTGTAATTTGAATATGTTATTGTCATTGCAGGGCATCGGATTTTCCAAGGGAATATGATGGTGCATGCCTACAGATGAGAATCTCATACAGTCCAGCGGCACATTTTTTCCTCTTTCTAGTACAATGGACTGACTGCCACCTTGCTGGAGCTCTTGGACTGTTGCGAGTCCTAATATACAAGGTTGATACTTGTTCTGTTGATTCTCGTTTTCGTGCATAAGTTTTGCTCTTATCATTGCAAGCAATTGAAAGTAATGCTTTGTTGCACAGGTTTATGTTGATGGCACTACAACTATGTCTGTGCACGAGAGAAAAGCAAGCATTAGGGAATTCTATGGTAATCTCCGTGGTCATTGACTGATTTTACAGTCTCACTGACAACCAACCTGGAAACTAGTATTTTTGGCTGCATCTTATATTTTTATATATTTTGTGGTCAGCTGTTATTTATCCCTCTTTATTGCAACTTCAAAGAGGGGTCTCGGATTCGGAAGATAATAAACAGAAAGCTGTGTGTCTAGAGAGATACAGAAGAAGAGACGAAGAATACAGGCAATGCACTGAATTAGATATTGAAAGGGAAGAAGAATGTGGGATTTGCATGGAGACGAACTGTAAGCTTGTCTTGCCAAACTGTAATCATGCCATGTGCCTGAAATGCTACCGAGAATGGTACTGTATCTCCACTTTCTCTCTTTTTAATTTGTAGCTAAAATATTAAATCTACTTTTTACTTTCCAAGTACATAAATATTAGATATTTAATTCATATTGGTCTCTTTGAATGTATTATATCGTCTGGCTTAGTACACATGATCAACAAGGAATGGAACGCACGAGACCTTTACCTCTCTCTTGGTGTCTACGAATAAATTGTATCAGACCTCAGGGTGAACCTGAATAACTTCTTTTCTCATGCTCTTATACTTCATTGTCTGCTGTCTTTTTTTTACAACTCTCTATATCTGTTTTGCCTGTTATTCATCTCTTGCTGCTTAGAACTACGGGAAAGTAAGGAAGAACAAAACTAAATTTGCTAATTATTTCATGGATATCAGTTACTTGTATTTTCGTTGGAAGATTGACACGACTTTGAATTAAACTATTTATTACTACTGCCAAAAAAAAAAAAAAAATGACTATAGTACTGTAGAGGAGTGTGAGGCGGACACTAACATGCCACCAGAGTTGGAGAGTCCTTGTTTAAAGCTCCATGCTTATCCTGTATATGTCACTTAAAAACTGCTTCAAAGATCCTACGAATAGCTTTGGGTGTAATTCTTCTGTAATTGTTTTCTTCTTGGTCAGAGCCCCCTCTCGACCAAGGACTGGCGCCACTTGTATTCACCATGCTGGGACCCAAAGCAGTATCTAGACCAACTGCTATACCATCAATTTACTTTTTATCTTCTCCTGTAATTGCACTTCCCTTCGTCGCCAAGTGAGATTTACACCTAGGGCTGGAGAAACAAATGAATATATGGATGCTTCCTGGAATCTTTTCAGTATTATGTTAATCCCCCAGTCTCGAGTTGGATTTCCATGAATACAGCTAAATTTTCACCAATGTAGGTTTAATTTCAATTTTCAATGTGGACATCACACACTTCTTCCCCTGTATGCCTCCTTTTTTTTTTTTTTTTTTAACTTTGTTGTTTCGTATTCTGTTGCTTCACATGGCACCCTGAAGGTTTATAAGCAAATAAAATGAGTGGTGGATAAGTGAGTAGCACTCATGTGTGCACTTGCTTTTATAAATGCGTCTTCCTGCATATGCAAAATTGAGACCATAACACTGCATACCATTTTTGGCTTTATTAATTTGGTGTCAAACCTTGATTCTTTGCATTCTCGTACCGTTTCTTTGAAAGCGATTGAGTGCTGTTGTTATATGTCCTTCCCGGTTTCTGTCTCCTCGTCTCATACGAGCATGTTAGGCACTTAGGCTAAAGCTTAAAAGAGTTCCCTTTAAGTAACTAAGTTTGTTTTAAAATAAACAATTTTTAATGGTCAAAATTTGAAATACCTAATTACAATGAAAGTAGTTTATGAGTTAATTCAAAATTAGTTTAACTCGAAAGTAAGGAAGAATTTATTTAATATCATTATTTGAAATAAATATTTACTTTAAGATTAGCCAAACATGCTCTAGCATAGCTGGTGAAGCTTTTCTGTTCTAATCTCCCTGCTAGGTCGGATGAGGTCATATTGTCCTTTTCTTCACCCCACATGTAGGGATGTTCGCACAGCGGATGGAGACATGAACCTTTCATACCTTTGTGTATTTATTCTCCTGATATGATTTCAAGCGAATAATAGCCCGATTGATCTGTTTGGTGCAGGCGTACGAGATCACAATCTTGTCCATTTTGCCGGGATAGCTTAAAGAGGGTGAACTCTGGTGATCTATGGGTACTTATGGACGGCAGGGATGTGATAGATATGGCAACTATCACGAGGGAAAATCTGAGGAGGCTGTTCGTGTTTATAGAGAAATTGCCCCTTGTTGTTCCCGATACCCTTTTTGATACTTACGATACCCATTTGAGGTAATTTACTAGTATCGTCTAGGTAATGGCGATTAGTTAACGCTCTAGATTGCATGTGGAAGCAAGAAATAATCTGCGGAAACCTAGATTTAGATATTATCTGGCTTATAAATAGAAACCGCCTTGCTTTATTGTGGGCAGGGTTTTGAAGCTATTTTATGGAAAATCTCTATGGAGAAAATTAGTACATCCATGTATAGTCTGTGTGGATTGATTAGACAATCGAGTTAATAATTTGCCAACCTCAATTGAAACAGAGCTCCTGATTCATACAGAGCATTTTATTTTATTCTTTCAACTGTGGAGCACATCTTTTGATATCTATTCAAATTTTAGAACTCCGTTTACTTGCACGGGTGCATTGTCTTATGGTTAGAGAACTCATGGCGACCTAGTTGAATTAGTAGAAGCTACAGGTATCATTGTTTGATAATCGATGGAGATCTGAATACTCGTTTAACGTTATCAACTTATCGTACTGGGAGAATTCACGGGCATATATTACTTGATCACTGCGCAATGTGGATAACAAACAGATTTCGAGTCTTTATTCAACTACTATTGAGTTAAGGTTTGATCCAGAAATGAATTTACTAAACTTCATAAGTCTTTTTTGATTGGATGGAGATGAATGAAAAAAATACTAAAGTGTCCCTTATTGAATCTGGAACTTTTGGGGGAGGGGTTACATGCTAACAAGTGACGATACTCCTTTTCCAAAGTAGTCATAGGGGAATGCGACTCAGGAAAGTGAAATGTGATGCATCATATAGATTAGGAGGATGGAAAAAGACGGGTGATCTAACCAACGAAACAAAATCTAATTAGGTGTTATGGTGATATTAAATATAAAGTTGAGTGTCTATTGATGAATTTGATCCGTTGATAAAATGAAAATTTGCACACTAATACAAACTATAAAATTGGATTGCCCCAGGTCTTGTTAGTTAGCCTCTGTTTTGGAAAAATTATAAATAATCTAATTTATGAATAGATTGAGAAGATTGATGATTATAATTGATAACATATTTATGGGTTCATTAAAGTATGTGATTAAAAATTATCCTTTATATAAATGGAAAGCTGCAGGACCATTCTCTTATCCGAATCATTGCAACTTACACTGACTTTCATTAATTGCATCAATCTATGACTTGACTCAAACTGTACGTTTCACGTTCCGTATAAAGATTGAAGGCACTGACAGTCTGGCTGGCTTCAATAATTTCCCATTTATTTTTACTTTTTTTTTTTAATTCAAAAATGTATGGGCTCTGGGCTTTTAAGTGCGAATTTCGCTATCACTACAAGAAATCTAAGATAGCCTTGCAGATGCATGCATGGTGTGCATTTGTAGGTGGATTTGAAAAACAATTTTTTAAATCCATGCGTGTATCTCTCATGCTATCTGTACAAATAACATTACTCTTTAAGTGCTATGCAATCTTAACGGCTCACAATTTTTGTTCGTGTTAAATTAGAATCTGTAAATCTGTGACAATTAGTCATTTGTTTTTCATTTTTTTCTTCCTCTTGCAATTTTTTCTTAGAATTAAAGCGTCAATGTCAAGTAATCTTATCAAGTTGCTAAAATGATTTATTTTACTCTCATCCTCATAATTAAAGTATTCGAGGAATTTGATTATATTTTGTCTTTTCTTCCCATAATTAATTGAAGCCACACGCCCTATCTATTTATTCATTCGACTTATCTATTTTTTTATTCCATTTTGATTTTGACAACGCATGCAAAGGTGCATGGTCGTTAATAAACACATATTATAATTTTGATGTAACTAATTTGACTAAAATGTTATATTGTCAAAATTTTAATAATTGCATGAAGAGAAATCCAATTGGGACTTCCTTTTCATTCACCATGTATATTTCATGGTTGACATCTTTATGTAAATTTTATTGGAATCCTTATAGTATTGAACGAAAAAAGTGTTTTATTTTAAAACTGTCTAATAACGTGTCATCAAGTGACGCAATGTCAAATATAATGTTAAAAGGAATGTACATGTAACATAATCGTCATTCCTTTATATAGACTATAGTAGATACAGCTTGTTCCGGTAATAGATTTTGTTAGGTGATATGTTGTTATCAAACGTTATTACATCCATGTTGCACCAATTATCCTACCATCTTGAAGCGTAAAAAAGAGTGAAAATTTGAGATAAACCCATTCAATAATCATAATGATGATCAATATAACCCGTTAACGGTGGAGGCTTGTACCTGGATCCTAATGCCCGGACCCCACGGGCGCCTGTTACAGCCTGGTGGGTTTTATCACCTGACCGACCATTTTTCCCTTGTTGGTTTAGCTGCTGAAATTGGAAATGCTTCTCCTTTTCACTTCCTAGTCAACTAGTTGAATCATAGTCATAATTACATGTAAATGGAGACACAAATTAATAGAAAAGGTTGACAAAAGCTCATAGTGCCGTCTCTTTTCAATAAAAAAAATAAAAAATTACAGAATGAAACATAGAGACTAACGTATGTTCATATTGAAGGGAAGGGTTTGAGCTACAAGAAGATTTTGATGAATACAGTGACTAATATAGAAATTCAGATGAGCACGAACAACTGCTCGAGTGGCCGAGGAAAATTTTTTGATGGCGGACGGCCACAAAAACCCATCTAGTGATGGCCAAAAAATCCGTCCCGAATGGAGCAAAAAAACCTGCTCCAAATGGGTTGGCGGGCCCAGTGAAGGAAAAAATAAAAAATAATTTTATTTATAGACAATTCATCCGTTAAAAACTCATTTTGAATTTGTATTTTATTCTCTAATAATAATATAACTCGAAACTTTGAAAATGTAAAAAAAAAATAAAAAAATTTAAATGGGGCAAAAAGTTACCCGTCCCCGTCTCGCCCCGCCCTGCCCCACCCGATCTAAGGTGGGGCTGGGTTTGGGCGAGACCCCCATCCCACTCAAAACCCGCTCCGTAGTCATCCCTAAACTCGTCAAGTGTAGGTTCCACCCCTGAATGAATAGAATATTTGACTAAACTTGAAAATGGAATACAGACAAATATCAGTTTGTTGTTAAAACTCATCATAATTAGAGATCATATATGAAAATACTATGAATATAGATAGTGTATGTCATCCTGTCTATCTTATCAATAAGCAAGTAGCATTCAATAATGATTTGATATTCCGAATAAAATCAGACAGACATGATAACAAAAACTTGAATTAGCGAGGGAACAAAACTTTCGTTATAATAAGCACGACGTTGGAAGGCTGAAAATAGAGGCCCATTGTAACGCAAATGGTCCGTCAACTATAAATCATTACATATCCATATTTGTATCTAGTACCAAATTAAGAATAATGTTATTTGTAGTCGCTCACTGCGACAGTCGTTCTACGTGGCATACACATGGCAGGTAGTTATATGATGCATTAATGAATAAAAAAACTATCACATTAATACATCAAATAATCACCTGCCATGTGTATGCTACATAGGGCGACTACCGCAGTGAGCGACTGCAAATAACATTACTCTCAAATTAATTATAATTATGGTATTTTGTGATAAAAATTGTCATCAAGCATATGATC